AAAAACCTGGAGTCTACTCGTTTGTCTCAAGGAAACAACTGAAGTGGATCAAGGAAACATTAAAGTCAGCTTAAATGTCATGAAAGCACAGGCGTGAATCTCTACGAGCAAGAGGAGAATCTTTGATGCTTTCATGTTAAATCTCTCGGTGATGTCTCTGTAGACCATTGTCCATTTTATCATTTCTCAGTTTTTAGTTTCTGCTAGCTTGCTCACATTCTGCACATGTAGCGGTGCTGTCACGGTCAGTCGTTTCCACTGCAGGAACTGAAGGCGGGAACATTAACTGGACTGACCTGAACACGTTTTTTAGCCATTCAGTATTAAAAAAGGCACAGCCACTGTGATGGTTTATGGATTGCTGTTTTTCATTTTAGCCGTTGTAATTACACGTGTATACACAACCCTGTATAAGTGTGATGACCTCGCAACGATCACGACAGCTCCAAAAGCAATCTTCACATTTCTACAGGGGAAAATGAGCTTTTTTACCCTGCAATTTACTGATTTGTGAAAAGATGTTATTTTCACTCAAATTTTAATTTGTAATTTCTCTTTTACAATTATTTTTTAATTATCACACAAAATCCATGAACATAAAACAAAGTGAGTTTATTCAGTCTGTCAGTCATGGTTTGTCACCATCTCCTGTGTTAGAAACTAAAAATTGTGGCCAGAATTCTTTTATGCTGAATTTTTAAGCATAAATTCTTGTGTATTTTATTGCTCCTGGAGTATTTGCTAAAAAAACAAACAAACAAACAAACAATCCTAAAACAACAATTTGTCCTGACACATTTTCTATTCTTTCTACTTTCGAATAAAGCTCGTGGCTCTTTCTTTCATTCATGGTTCTTTCAAAGCGTCCTGTTTTTTGCAGTAACTCCTTTTGGCACCACATACTTCACTCTTTCACACTTTTCTTTTTTCGATTGTCACTTCTAACAACACGTGGCTGCAGTTTTGTCTCACACACAGCCACAACCTCGGGTCACAGTCGTTGATGCAGGGAGGTGTGATGAGCTGATGGAGCTCCGGTGTGTCTCGGCCTCACCTGCCGACGAGCCCAAACCAAACTCCTAAATCTTTCATATTACTTTGCGATGAGGAATTGTTTCAGTCCTCCATTTTTAGTGTTTTTTTATGACCACAAGCCACAGAGCAAGAAGTCCCCTGGCCCGGACCCTGAACACATCACTCACCACAAACATCCTTAAACAACACCCTGACATGATGTGCGTCAGTCTTTAGAGCACAGAATGAAAATGACAATAATCTAAGCTGAGTTTCACAGTGATACAGACACAAGGAGCGATCCAGTGTACGGTAACTGTAACCTCTGAGGAGAACAAAAACAGAACGAGGACAATAACACTCGTGCAGAGCGACAATGACAGATCTGGCTTGTTGAGCAACAACCTGTTCGAGGCATTAAACTGTCCATCTGTTCTAACTGTATGATTGACCCTGCATATGAATGTGATCACTTTGCTGATAATGCTTTATGCATTTACTTTAGCCTGTTGTGTCATGGTGCACTGTGTGCAGGCAGAGTAGGAACCAAAGACAAATTAAATGAAGCCTTGTTGCTGTTACAGGAAATACAAAAACTCAGGCAAGGAGAAAACTGGACACACAGCTAGCTGAGATGACGCAACAAGGAACAGAGAAAACCGAGGACACGGCAGCTAACGAGACCATGACTAACAGGTGGGAAGACAACTGGAAGTAATTACAGAGTAAAGAGACACAATGCACACAGGACGAGAGAAAAGAAACCAACACAGAGACCAGGACTAAGACACGTGACACTGTCTTGGAGACATGACGGACACAGACTGGACACAGAAAAGAACTGACATCATCAGGAACTAAGGACTAGTCCAGGGGTGGGGAACTCCAGGCCTCGAGGGCCGGTGTCCTGCAGGTCTTAGATGTGTCCTTGATCCATCATAGCTGATTTAAATGGTTAAATGACCTCCTCAACATGTCTTGAAGTTCTCCAGACGCCTGGTAATGAACTAATCATGTGATTCAGGTGTGTTGACCCAGGGTGAGATCTAAAACCTGCAGGACACCGGCCCTGGACTAGACTATCATACTCAACACTAAATACCAGAGTGAAAGTAAATCATCCAAAAGAATAAATAATA